TCTAAGAATCTATCATATAAATTATATAAGTTTGTTTTTAAAGGAATAATCGCATTCTAAAATTTTATTTAAAAATTCATACATAAAGAAAAATAAATCTCATTTATCAACAAATAAAATTTAAACAAAAATAAAAATTTAAAATTTAAATTAATTGAATAACAACCTTTTACAAGAAATGAAAAATTGAATAAATAAAATTTAAAATAATAAAAGTAATATAATCTAAAGTATATATTTCTTGCAAAATATAAAAACATATCATATATATATATTTGTTTCTCGTTAGACTACGCGAGAATAGAAAAACAAAATAGCGTTTGTTATTATAGAACAATCGACTAAAAATCCTTAAAATTTTTAAAAAATGGAAAAAAGCAAAAAAAAAAAGCCCAGCTAAGATCCAAGCCCACGTGACTGGGCCAGGATGACCATGCCAACGCATTTGGGCCTGGAGGACCAAGCTCACAGGCTTGGAGGAGCAGGCCCTAAAAAAACTATAATTTCTGACAAGCTGTTCTTCGTTGGAAACATTATCGAAAAAGTGCATGTTTGGTTTTTCTAAAGCCAAATTCATCTTCATTTTTTTTCCTAAAAACACATCAAAATCACATAAATGATGTCAATAAATTATTTTAGAATCTCAAAATCCATATTAATGCACACAAAACACATAAAAATTCAAATCAAGTAAAAAATATTCAAAATACTTTTGGATTTCGATCTATCCTCCTCAAACTATTTCGTAACTTTTAACCAACGTCAACATATTCTACTCTTCAATACGAACAAATGATAGTAATTTTAACGATCGGAATCGTCAAAATAGTCATCGCTATCCCCCTCTCTCTCTCTCCTCCTTTCTCTCTCCATGTTTCTATGTCCTATAAGGATTTAGGGACCATATTGAAATAAAAATGAAGTTTGGGATCGAAAAAACTTCTCGTAGACACATAAGGGACTAAAGTGTAAAAATGACAATAAATAGTAGAAATAAACAATAGAATTGACTGATAGTGAATAATAAAATTATATGTTGTGCTACAGTAAAACTCCTAGTGAAGTATGTGGTGTTTATTCATTTTCTTTTAGTGTTTTTAATTATTTCTTAGATCCATTGGTGATTGGTTAAGCTAACCCCCTGCCCACCATAAAAGAAAAATTTGTAATATTCGAGATCTAAAGACTTAAATTAAATACTTAATATTTGATCGGATATATAAAATAGATATAATTATTTATATAGTTTTTTATACCAAAAGATTAAAAATTGAGATTATTTACTCAAACGATTCAAATTCTTCCAACTCAATGCCCTCCCCCCCTTAAGAAGGAAAAATTCTATAATATTTTGAGATCCAAATACTTAAACTAAATACTTAATATTTGATCGGATATATAAAATAGATATAATTATTTATATATGTTTTTATATACAAAAAGATTAAAAATTGAGACTATTTACTCAAACGATTCAAATTCTTCCAACTCAATAGGATCCTCTTGTATCATCCATTTACATTTTTAGTCGTTTAATAAGCAATTCTAGATTTCAACGTTTTTAAGAATATTGGTCGCTACCCTTACAAGTTTTATTTATTCATTTAAGTATATTTGTTGCCCCTGCTAACAGAGAATGTTTCTAACTCCGCGACTTTATACAGGTTGAGTTGCTAGTCATTTCGGCTTCTTTTGCTAAACAAACTCCGTTTAAATTATGAAAAAAAAAAAAACCTCAAAAAGTTAAGTCACTTTGGCGTATTTGCTAAGATTTCTTCTTAACTTTCCGTGCACACATACACACGACACGCGTGCTCACACACAACTTTTCTTTTTATATTTATTCTATATACCAATAGTGCAAAACTTGATTCAAAATTGCATCGCAAAAAAATACGGTATATTCTTTGAAAAAATGCTTTAATTTACTAACCCAATTTTAACTTCTTTATGTTTTGCTACTGGATTTGTTTTTAGTTGTGGTACAATATTGCTCCTATAAGTCAACTTGTAATGCTTAATTTTCATTTTAATTAAAAAATATGAATAATAAATTCAAATTTATAATTATTTGATTATCAAAATTTTAATATCTTATCAAAAACTATCTCAATTTAAAAAATTAAGCTGTTAAATTAAATTTTTAAAAAGATAATATTCTTTAACTACCCCTACTTAATACATATATATATATATATATATGCATTGTGAATTAATTGTTTTACAAATAAAGTGTTTTTGAAGGATTTTCTAACTTCATAAATGAAACTTGAATAAATTGGAGATAATTTAAATTAAATTAATTGAAACAGTAAATTTATTTAATTTCTATACTTAATATCTTCTTTAATAAAATAATTATTTACTATGTTAACATATAATTTACGCTAACCCACTAGTAAAATTTACGAAGAAAAAAACTCTTACATGTTTTCTTTCACGCGTTGTTAGTTTTCTTTTGCTCATAGCTAACCACTAGTATTTTCAAATAGGTGTTATAAAAAAAAAAACTAACCTTTAGATCCAGTTAAAAATTGGCTACTCGCGTCGAGATTTGATTTTAACTTTTCAAAACCTGACATGAGGTCTTGTCTTACTAATGCAATACTTCTAAAAAAGCCTGATAAATACAATAGTTTTTATTTATCTAGAAAATATAAATTAACTTAACCATAAAAAATAAAACATCTCCCCGTAGAAAATAGTTTAACCATGTGATGCGAATTCATTACATATTACATAAATATTAAAAAGAGTACACAAACTTGCCAAAAAAAATCTAATTATTAATAATTGTTGCAAATCACGGCCACTTGTTAGCAATTTTTCGTTGTTCATTGTCGTTTTCAACAAAACGACTCAAATTTTAATTGAAGCAGCTAACTTTTTAGGTTCAACATAATAAAAAATATAAAATGCGAATAGACGAAGTATTTAAAATAAACAATTTTTTTATATTAAGTATTTAGACAAACTGTTGTGTCAGTATATAAATGATAAAGTGTGAGTTTCGTTAATTGAATATAATTACCACATATGTTTGTATGAAAATAATTGGTATGAAAAAACTTGTTTGTATAACATTATTCTTAAAATAACCCAAAAATTAAGAAAGTGTATTGGATTGATTTGACTAAACATGGGCAGTGATTTTCTGCCATGTCAACTATTAATGGTAGAAATTGAATTCGCACGAGGATGATCCCTTCTACAATTATTTGGAAGCATTGTAATTATATAATATTTTTAAATTTATGGAGTTGGAAGACAAATTTTACATGTGTCAAATATAAGAACTTGTATGTCAGTAATCAGTTAAAATTTTATTTTTTATAAGATAAATATTTTTTTTGGCAAGTTGGTTTGAAGATATCTATATTATCAAATAAAATAAAAAAAATAAAAAAATATTTGTTTCCTCTCAAAGACAACAGAATATATATATATATATATTTTTTTGTCAAAATAATACTTGGCCATTTGTAAGTTTCTCGAATACAGTGAAAAATAGTTAAATTATGAAAAACTAAGCTAATTTCTAATGTTATAACAAGTAAATATACTTAACTGTCCTTAATGTTATACATTGCATAATACTAAGTTTTTTTCAAATAAATAATATTTATTGAATCGTAGTTTTTACTGCATCATTCATAAATAACAAAACCACATAGTGTTAAATTTATTTTTACAAGAGAATAATAAAAAATATTAATAATTCATAACTTGAGGTCGCTATGATTATAATTTACAATGCAATCAAGCTACTACATGCTTAAAAAAATAAAAATAAAAATAAAAATAAATAAATAAAAGAAAAGAAAAGAAAAAAAAATGCGTCTTCTTAAGTGTAGTTTATTTGAAAATAAAATTTTGAACTTCTAATTTATGTTTTGACCTCTTTTTTTTTTCAGATTTTCCATCTTATGATTTTTAGTTATCATTCTTTCCATTTGAAATATCTAATCTTGGTATTTTGAGTTAAAGTTTCGTACACACGTTAGAAAAACTCTAATATATTTTATGGCAAAAAATTCAATTCTTAGATTTTGAGTTAAAATTTTACACAAAAACTCAAATATATTTTATGAAAAAATCTTAATTTTTTTCAAAATCATTTTTTGAATATTAAAAAATAAAAAATAGAAAATAACTCAGAATATGTTCAAATATTTTGGAGAGCTTCAAATAAAGTTTAATGAATGATTTTTATCATAAATCTATTTATGTGATTGTTATTTTTTAAGCTATATGATAAAAAACTAAAGAATGAACTAAATTTTTTAAAAAAGTAAAAATAAAATTTATTTAAAATTTAAAAATTAATTTCCAAATAAACTAAAATTTATGAAAAGTTTGGATATTTTAGTTTTAAAAAAAGGCCCCCGGAAATGATGAAATGATCTTGAACGAATAAAGGCCAATGCAGAAGTTAGCTCATTAACACACAATAATAAAATACAATTTAGCCAATAAACTAAATGCGCAAGATTTCCTAACCTATTCTTACGACTCGAAGAAAAAGGCACGAAAAGGACACAAAGCTGACAAATATAATGCAGGAAAGAAAAGAAAAACAAAGAAAACCCCTGTAGTCAACGCCTCTACTATCTAGCAAGTACGGTCATGTCAAGCGAGCCATCCTGTTAGGACGCGACAACGTCACCACACTCTCTTTTATTTTCCGTAATTTGTTTTTTGCAAAAAAAGATTTCACCAGAAAAATTTTAAAAAGAAGCTTTGTTAGAAAAGAAAAGCGGCCTTTAATTCCTTAAGCACTGGTCAAGCCCTGAGTAGGTCCCACATAAAATACTGTATACGTGTTTCTCTCTGTCTTCATCGTCTCTCCCCCTCTCTCTCTGCTCCCCCACACCATCTTCTAGGGTTCACTCCAGCAAGAAAGAGAGAGCGAGTGACAACATTCTAAGACAACCAAACCAAACCGGACTTAATATCACCAGAGCAAAAAAAAAAAAAATCCGATTATTTCTCAATCAAGGATGAGTTCAGGTGGTTCAGATTTAGTTAGGTTCGTTGAATCAGTGCTAGGGTTATCTTTTGGTGACACGGTAACTGACTCAGTGGTGGTGATAATTACGACGTCGTTTGCGGTTGTAGTTGGATTGGTGGTGTTTGTATTGAAGAGATCCTCAGATCGGAGCAAAGACGTGAAGCCATTGGTGGTTCCTAAGTCACTATCAGTTAAGGATGAGGAGGATGAGTCCGAGGCTCTGGCTGGGAAAACTAAGGTTACTGTGTTTTACGGGACTCAGACCGGAACTGCAGAGGGTTTTGCCAAGGTAATAATGAAAATTGTTTTATCTAAACTTCGGATTGATCTAGAATGATAATCATAATCATAGTTAAAAGTATTTAAAACTATATTAATTCTGTTTACTCTTGACTAAAAAGAAATGGCTGATAATCAATCTGGTCGTTTAGCTGTAATCCTACTCGTATGTCGCTATATGCTTTTTTGTTTGACTACCTGTGTTAAAGTGGAACTTTAATTTATATTGCTTTTTTCTAGAGAAATATAGTCCTGATGTTTGCTCTGAACAGCAGTACTTTTACTGCAGATCGTGAATTAGAAAGTAGCTGGATTATTTTTGAGCTAACATTTGGTATTTAGCTTAATCTCATTGAATTGTTTGTAGTTTTTTATGGATTGGTTTGGCGATTCATTCACATTTATGCTTACAAGCTTTTCACAAAGCTTAATCTCATCGAATTGTTTGTAGTTTTTTATGGATTGATTTGGCGATACATTCACATTTATGCTCACAAGCTTTTCACATCTTGGCAGTCTTGTGGTGCTAACTGTGGCATTTTTCATACTTTTAGCAAAGCTTCATTGTTTATGATATGTAATCATAGCAGGTGGACTGTTAAGTTAGACGTGAGACATTTCTACAAGGGCAATAGCGGCACAGCTGGTGCTAGTGCAGGGGCAGATCACATGCCCCTTTTTTTTTTTTAAACAGTGGGCAGATCACGTTTAAGGCACTTTAATTGATAATGACTCCATGAGAAATTTGAGGGCTTAGCTCCATGAGATGTTGGAGCCTCATATATCAACTACATTAGTAGTCATAAGAGAGTGTCAGAATTGAATGCTACTCCTATTGTTCATGTTTTTTCATAGCGGAGTCATGTCATGGGACTCTTACTAATTTTCGACTAGATGATTACATGTAGAGATAGACATATTTTTCTGTATTTGTACATAAGCATTATTTGTTCTTTACATTCATCTCCCAAACAATAGGAGCAGTTGTATAAAATCCTGCTTGAGCATTCTATCTTTACTTTGATGTGGTTTACTTAATGGGTTACTTTGCACTATTATACTTTTATTTAATTTAGTTTTCTTTTTTCCTGCCATTATCATAGGCTTTAGCGGAAGAGGTCAAAGCAAGATATGAGAAAGCAGCTGTTAAAGTTGTTGACCTGGTATGGTGGATGTAATAATTTCACAAATGACATTGATTCGCTCGAGAGAATTGGCTTCTTTAGAATTTATAGCATGTTTTTGTGTTGTTTGTGGTTTGAATCAGGATGATTATGCTATGGAAGATGATCAATATGAAGAAAAATTGAAGAAAGAGACTTTGTCATTATTCATGGTTGCCACGTAAGATAAAATTTACAATTGATGGCACTTTGCTGTATGTTGATCATGTATTTGGATTTTCCAAAAAAAATTTGCATCTAATATTTTTGAGCCTCATATTGTAGTTATGGAGATGGAGAGCCAACTGATAACGCTGCGAGATTTTATAAGTGGTTTACTGAGGTTGTTGACTTTCTTACAATGCCAATACGAGCTTAGTTCCGTAGCTTTGTTTTGTCAGAATTTCTAACTACAAGTCTCGCAATAACGGTGTTCTAATTTTAGGGAAATGAACGGGGAATCTGGCTTCAACAGCTTTCTTATGGCGTTTTTGGCCTTGGCAACCGTCAATATGAACATTTTAATAAGGTATAAATATTAGGATCTTTTCTTTTCATTTCTCTCTCTCCCCTTGAAACTTTACATTATAAAAGCAATATCTGATGATACACTTTTCCCTGAACAGATAGCAAAGGTGCTTGACGACCTGCTCTGTGAACAAGGTATATTTCGATTTTATTTGGTATTTCTCATTGACTTACTATTATTGAGTCCATAGGATTCATGCTACTGTCTGAATGGCATCTGTTTTGAATCCTCTTCATTGCAATGTAGCTGTATATCAAGTTTTCTCATTTTTTTTTGGGAGGATATGTTAAGGGAAAAAAGTAACTAAATGTTCTGCAATTTGCAACTCAATGCCCCCATGTTTGCAAGTTGTTCATGACGTTGCTTTCTGATTCTGTTATCATGCATATTTTGGATATTAGTTTAGTTGTATGTCATGTAGATTGCATGCATGTCTAACTTTGTGTCTTGCACTGGTTGGTGATTGTTGTCATTTCATTCTTTTCGAAATTTTTTGTTATATATTATTTTGAACATGGTGGAACTTTCCTGTGTGATTGATATAGGAGGAAAGCGTCTCGTTCCTGTTGGTCTTGGCGACGATGATCAATGTATAGAGGATGATTTTTCTGCTTGGTAGGCAACATGGTCATGTTTGAATGTTTCAGTGGATGGAGTGTCTTGCAATAGCTGTCTTAACTGACCTTTTCTTTTCTTCTCTGGATGGATGGAGCTTGGAATTTACCTATTTGGATTCTTTGTTTCGTTCTTTTTTGTTTCAGGAAAGAATTGTTGTGGCCTGAGTTAGACCAGTTGCTCAGAGATGAAGATGATGTGAATACTCCATCTACTCCGTATACAGCTGCTATACCTGAATATCGATTGGTGATTCATGATCCTTTCATGACATCTGTTGAGGATAAATTCTCAAATTTGGCAAATGGGAATGTTTCTTTCGATATTCACCATCCATGCAGGTAATCAACTAGGTATAGGGCACATGCTAGTCATCACTGATTTTGTTCTTGCTGAAATTGGTGTCTTTCCTCTTTCCTGAAGAGTCAACGTTGCTGTCCAAAAAGAGCTTCACAGAGCTGAGTCTGACCGGTCTTGCATACATCTGGAGTTTGAGATCACAGGGACTGGAATTACGTGAGTTCATCACTATACTTGTACTGTCTATTTTATTTAATACTTCTTATTCCTTTATAAAGTTCTTTTTTCACTTACCTTTGATCCAAGACCTATCTCAAGTTAACCCACCCTACCCTTTGCTGGCACTAAAGCCAAAGCTCAAAGGCTTCTCCTCCTCCTGTATACTACAAAGGTCCTGAAATTTTTATCGTATGAATAATTTGCCTGAAACTTGGAACATTAGGAAATTAACTGTTTTATTTGTTTCGAATCTTTTCTTTGTTCGGGGTGAATTTGGACTTCTTTGTGTGGGCCCTGCTTTGCTTAATCTATTTGTGTCTGTATTATAAAGCTGCTATTCCCAGGAAGGAGATACCCTCAAAAAGTTTTCTTCTTATTTTGAGCTTTTGTGGTGTGACAAAGCTCTAGTATGTTTGTTTTTTTTTTTCTCCATACCTTTTCCGTACTTTTTGGTTGGGCCATCCTTGTTGGTTTCTTAATGTGCTTTTGAATTTTGTAGAGTGCTCTTTTCTGCAGTTTTCTGGTGTGTTGTAATATTCATTTTTTTTTAATAGAAAAAAGCATTTTGCATTTTGCATTAAATCTGACATGTTAGTGTTAATCACAATCTCTTTGGCTACTTTTTTCACTCAGATATGAAACTGGAGATCATGTGGGGGTGTATGCCGAGAATAGTGACGAAACAGTTAAAGAAGCAGGGAAGTTGTTGGGCCAACCTTTAGATTTATTGTTTTCTATTCATGCTGATAATGAGGATGGCACAGCTATTGGAAGTTCATTGCCTCCTCCTTTCCCAGGTCCCTGCACACTCCACACTGCATTGGCATGTTATGCAGACCTCTTGAGCCCTCCTAAAAAGGTTATATTTTCTCATGTTTGCCTGTTCAGGTTTATTTCCTGGTTCTTTCTCTGCGAGATAGATTTTCTTAATCGTTGGTTGTAAATTATGCTGTCAGGCTGCTTTGCTTGCTTTGGCTGCTCATGCCAGTGAACCTAGCGAGGCAGAGAGACTAAAGTTTTTATCATCTCCGCAAGGAAAGGTCAATATGTGATCCATGCTTTTTGTTGATATTTTTTTTCTGCTTCTTTGATATGTCTTCTGTATATTCCTGCTCGTCTAATATGTTTTTTCTTTTTCCAGGAAGAGTACTCTCAATGGGTAATGGCAAGTCAGAGAAGTCTTCTTGAGGTAATGGCTGAGTTCCCATCCGCAAAACCTCCCCTTGGTAACTTTTTTGCTGCAGTGGCTCCTCGGCTACAGCCTCGTTACTATTCTATCTCATCCTCTCCTAGGTGATCTATTTGTTCGTGTTTGAGTATTTGAAATGCAATTTTATCTTCTTGATGGAATTATAAAAACATAGTTTCCTGAAATGTTTTCTGCAGATATGTTCCCAATAGAGTGCATGTGACCTGTGCTTTGGTATGTGGCCCAACTCCTACTGGTAGAATTCACAAAGGGTTGTGTTCAACTTGGATGAAGGTATTGACACAGCCTCCATTATATGTCACAGAACAGCACTTTCTCTCTTACTGTACCATCCTTCATGTTTGAGATCATTTTTGCATGGTGTATCTTGGCGTGGCATCTTGGAAAATCTAACATGTGGTTGTATCTTCCCTCCCTCCACTCTCTCAAAAACTATATATATACACACACACACAAACAGAATGCAGTTCCTCTAGAGAAAAGCCATGACTGTAGTTGGGCTCCCATTTTCATCAGAACATCTAATTTCAAGTTACCAGCTGATCCTTCAACTCCAATTATTATGGTGGGTCCGGGTACTGGATTGGCACCTTTCAGAGGATTTCTACAGGTATGGATGAATTTACATTTGAATGCGTTTTTTTTTTCGGTGGGAACAGAAGAAAATTAATTAGTTGATTGCTCCAGGAAAGAATAACCCTGAAAGAGGATGGTGCACAGCTTGGTACCGCCCTGCTTTTCTTTGGATGCAGAAATCGCCGAATGGTTTGGACCTAAACTATGCAAACTTCCGAATTTGATAATTATTGATACACAATGAACCTGTTCCCATTGATTCCCAATTTCTATTGTTTGCAGGATTTCATATATGAGGATGAGCTCAATAATTTTGTGGAGCAGGGTGTCATATCCGAGTTGATTGTTGCATTCTCAAGGGAGGGACCACAGAAGGAATATGTTCAACATAAGATGGTGGATAAAGTAAGTAATTGGAGACTGCAAAATTAGGTTGTTATTGATGAGTTAAATAAATACCTTATACATATTAGATTAAATTCAATACCATTTGCAGGCAGCAGAGATATGGAGTATAATTTCTCAAGGGGGTTATCTTTATGTGTGTGGTGATGCTAAGGGTATGGCTAAAGATGTTCATCGGACTTTGCACACTATTGTTCAAGAGCAGGTACGTGTTATTGCACTATTTTTTCTCATGCTGCTTCTCGTATGAAGCACAGCACCAAGAAAACCATGCTCATGCATGCACAGTAGTCCTTGTTGCTGTTTTACCATCTCTGCAAAGTGGAAAGCACATGACGTGCAAGTGATTCATGCCCAGAACTTTTGTTGTCAATTCACCTTGGTCCCTCTATTTGTATTTACTGTGTTCTCCCAATGTAAAGCGTGTGCTGAGGAATGTTATGCATATGAAATCTTTGTGCTTTTGTGTTTCAGGGAGGCTTGGACTCATCTAAAACTGAGTCCATGGTGAAGAAACTCCAAATGGAAGGACGGTATCTAAGAGATGTCTGGTGACAACAATATTTTCACGTTGAATCTGCCTTTGTTTGCAGTAACCTCACCAAGTATAGCATTGAATTTATTCATCTACTATTCAAGCTTCTTTCACTGGTTCATCTCTGCCCTTCTGGACTCCGTTGTCCCGATAAGGATGGGAATCTGAAAGTTGATTCCCTTAGAAATTCAGATTATGTGTCTTCAAGCCCGCCCTTTATTACATTTCATTTTCTTTATTGTTTTGAATAGGATTCTGTTAGTCTCTACTGTTTCCTTAATGGAATCATCACTTGGGGAATAGCATGTAGTTAGTTACGAGATGTCATAAGGACATGCAGATGGCTATGGAATGTGAGTGATGGCTTGTGCATTAATCATTGTAGTAAAAGGATTATAAGGTAGAAATAAAACTAAAGGTGCGGTTTTGAATCTGAAAACTGTTATTGAAATTGAACTTTTATTTATTTTTATCTATTTTTAAAGTAAATACTTTGTGAATTAATCAGATATCTTGCGAGCATTTACCGATTGCTGAGGCTGGCGCCTTGGTTGGTAAGTTTGGAGTACCATCTGTTTTGTTTTCCGCATTGACTCGGCCCTGTTGAAGGAGGCCTAATCATCTCTTCTTTTAACCTCGTTGACCTCATGTGAAGAAAGTTTGATCAATTTCGGTGCCCAAGTCTTAGAGCGTGACGTCCATGAACAAATTGTAATATTGATTCAAAGATTTGATGGGATCAAGGGTCCAATTGAGTAAACATAGCTTTAGGAGTTTTAACAGCGTTTGGGTCTTTTTATTTTTTCGTTACTTGTTATTCAAAATCCAATCAGTTTGAGCTACAAAACGAATTAAAAGTTTTAGTATCAAACGTAAAGGCATTTAAATAGCACATTGGCAAACATTTTTTGACACCCATAGCTGAAGCTCTTAAATCACATTAAAAGTCACAGCTAACTAACTAAACGGAACCTGAATTTCTCTTTCCAATAAGGTCGATGACTGGTTAGCTGGAACTAAAAGGATATAAACCATGCTGCTTCTATTTATTTAGCTTTCTAGTCATTCTGTTGGTGTCTGCTTTTGCTTGGGTAAATAAGAAAGGGGCATGCTCTAAAATTATAAAAACAATAAAATAAGCCCCTTAATGCTGGACAATCGGAATTGTTGATAGAAGAACTCTCAATCTTGGATTTTAGCAGTGGATAATAATCAATATGATAGCGACCAAATCAAGTTAATCAACCAACCCCACCACCGAAAAAAAAAAAAACACTGTTCGCTCCATAAATATCCGATTTTTTTATTTTTTATTTTTTCAAAAAAACACCTCGTATATGCACAAACACTGAAATAGACGTCAACAGCACCAAATAGAAAAGGACACAATGAAAAATTACGCTGTGCTTGTAACAATTTTCAAAGCAATCCTTTTTTTTTCCTAGTCAGTGTTTATATTTTTCATTTTTTTAATCAAGTCTCTATTTTTATTTTTTTATTTTAATTAAGACCTTCTATTTTTAAAAATTTATTATTTTAGACTTTTATTATTAAATTATATCAATTAATAATCGACATATAGTATTATAAAATAAAATAAATCTCGATCACGTGTTAATTATTGATTGATAGTATGATAAAAGATAGTATATAATAACGGATTTAAAAAAATAAAAGGTTTCCATCAAATGAAAAAATAAATGATTTCAATAAAAAAATCAAATAATACTTGTTTAAATATAAGAAAAACCCATTTCCATTATCTTTTTAACTCAGTATTTTGTTGAAATCGTTAAAATATTGATGCTGTATCCGTTTCATAAACTCATGACATTCTTTAATTCCTATTGTTATTTTTAGGGTTAGAAATTTAATATTTCTTAATAACTCTTAACACTGTAATCCCAAAATAATAAAAAAGATATATTTTTTTAATTTTATGAAATAGCGAGTTCATAATAAATATGGCACATGCTCCTTTATCGAAACGTTATGGATAATTTAAAATTTTAATTGAAATAATTAATTGAAAAAATAGATGTATAAACACTAAAATTAAAAAATAAACCTGAAAAAAAAATGAATTAGAAAAATTAAGGTAGAATAGAAAAATAAAATAGAGGCATTTTGAAAATTAGAATAACTACATGCACTAAATTTTTAATTACCTCATCCAATAATCACCGACATGGACATACCGAGGGCATTATCGTCATTAACCACCTCAGAACCATCTTCGATCCCCTGACTTCCGGCCATTTTACTCTCTCCACTGCGCACCGTTTCTTTCTTTACCCAGAAAATCCCCTTAAAGCGCGTGAGTCCACGCTCTCAACGCCTTGCTCTCTCCCCTCCCTCCCTCCCTCCCTCCTCCTCCTCCTCCTCCTCCTCCTTTCTCGTCTCCGTTTGTCCCGTCTACTCTCTCTCTCTCTCCCAAGGTTTTTGAAATCCTCCGTTTCTCTAAAACCCTAAATTAGGGTTTTGCTGAAATTGGGCTTAATTGAACTGACTCTCACCAATTCCTTAATATGCAATTGAGTTACATAGCAGCACAATGATTGAGAAATCCAAGAAGAGCAAAAGGGAGTAATCAGTGAAGAAGATATCTCCACTCTCTTACAAAGGTATTAATATTTTCCTTCTCTCTCTCTCTTTCTCTCTTTTGGAATTATTGAATGAATTTATAAAATTTGGTGGGTTTTGTACGCAGGTATACCGCGACAACAGTACTCGCATTGCTGCAAGAAGTGGCTCAATTTGATGGAGTGAAAATTGATTGGAATGCATTAGTTGAAAAGACAACCACCGGAATTTTTAATGCAAGGGAGTATCAGATGATATGGAGACATTTAGCTTATCGACATGTGTTGCCTGAAAAAATCGATGATGGAGCTCACCCTTTGGTCTGCACTACCTCTTTGCCTGATAAACTCGATGCGGGTTCTTTTTCTTATTAATTTGGATTTGAATAATTTTGTGTTGCAGGATGATGATAGTGATTTAGAGTCTGAATTGGAAGCGTTTCCTAGTGTTACCAGTGAAGCTTCGTCTGAGGCTGCTGCTTGTGTTAAGGTGGGCTTCAATCCTATTATTTTGATAGTGATTGTTCACTATGTATAATGTATGATACAGTGTGTTGTTGTCTGTTTAATGCTTGTATAAATTTTCGAGTTCTGGAGATTTTTTGTAAGATTTCTAGTTCAGAAACTCATTTGAAGAGTTGTATCTGTTGGGGGCAGAAGGAGAGAGGATGAATTAGTTTAAAATTTGCCATTATTAACAACTCACTGACAGATAAAGGATTGAAACATGTCAAGGTAGTTGTAGTTTTCAAAGAAATGTGATGATGCTCAAACGGTAGGGCATTGTAATACAAGATTATTTCCAGGAAACTACTGCCACCATATGATATAGCTCGAGAGGGTGCACTTTTTTTATGTTTCATTCATTTGATAGATTCCTGCACTTTGAGACATCCCAAGAAGGCAAAATATGCTTGAATATTTTTTATTTTATTTGATGCCTCTTCATTTTCTATGTCCAGTTACCTTATTGATGAGAATGGTTGTTTTGGTTAGGTATTGATCGCATCTGGTTTACCAAGTCACTCAAACAGCACAACAGTTGAGGCTCCCCTGACTATAAATATACCTAATGGCCAGCCATTTAGAGCCACATCAGAAAATTCACAACCTGCTGTGATGCAGGGGATGAACATTACAGTTCCAGTTTCTGTGCAGAAACTGTCTCTGCCTGGAGGGACATCCGTTACTTCTGCTGAAGTATTTGATGCTAATGGATCGGGCAGTGGCACATTCCCTCCAAGAAGGAAAAGAAAGCCCTGGTCAGAAGCCGAGGATATGGAACTGATTTCTGCTGTGGATAAATTTGGTGAGGGGAATTGGGCAAACATTGTAAGAGGTGAATTCAAAGGGGATAGAACTGCTTCCCAGCTATCTCAGGTTATTTTTCATGCATCAAGTTCCATTAACTTCTCGTCCTTTCTCATTCTTGTTATGCATTACGTAACCGTGATTTTCATACATCAAGTGCCTGTAAGCTCTTCAGGCTTTCATAGGTCAGTAAGAAACACACAGGATATGGTGCTTTGTCATCTAAAATTCTCTTTGCTTTTCACGTTCCTTTCCATCCCTGCAATATTTTGGTTCCAATTGCTATGTGCAATGTGGTCAAATCTATGTGCTTTACTTAGTTGATGCTTGAGCATTCATGGAAATGGTCAAGCTATATCATTTTCTTATCTAGTACTGTAAATAATCTAGTTGTTAACAGTTCATTTGCAATGGCACATATACTTATTGGTAGTGCTATAAGGGCCACTCCTGAAGATATTGTTGACAATGTATTAACCATGATTTGTCCACAAGCACATAGATGTATTTTTCATAAAAAGGTTTTAAGGTTATAGAATTTTGATACATATTGTTGAAAAATGTAAATAAAATGAATCATTGAGAGTTAAGAGAGAATATGGCTAAACCTGATTAGATCTGCTGTCTTGATTTTTTCCAAATACAATGAGAACTTCATGTAGGATTAGCATGCATCCGAAGTGCCATGTTAACATCTGAAGTGCACTTCTCTGATGATTTTGGAGTTAGATTTATTTATTTATTTATTTTTATTTTTTTCTCAAAACCTCTAGGATTTTTCTTAACCATATCATCAAGATGGAAACATATTGTTGAAAATGTAAATGAAATGGAGAATTAAGGGTGAATATAACTAATCCTGACTAGTTTTGCTATCTTGATTTTTCATGAATACAAGGACTGCATATAGGATTAGCATTCATCCGGAGTCCTGTCTCAACATTAGTAGTGCACTTCTCTGATGACTTTGGAGTTAATCCTCCCCCTCCCCCTACCACAAACTTCAAGCAATTTTCTTAACCATATCATCAAGATTTTGTTCCATGGGTAAACCCAGTCCTTGAACTTTCAGTAAGTATTGTTGTTTAATTACTGCCTTGGAGAGCAATCCGTTGTCATCTAGTCCGGTCAGGATGTCTGGGGTTCTCCCAGTTTTTCCCGGGTTCAAATCCCGGCAACGGAATTTTTAATATTTTGGTGTTGGGGTGGGGTTGTTCATAGATTGAATTAATCTTTTATTCCTCAAGTCTATAAATTTCAATCTGTTTTCTTTTTTGGCCATTGTTCTTTCCTTTCCTATTGTTCCACTATATTAAGGCGGCAAAGTAGATTCCATGAATTGGTGTTTAACAGTGTTCCATTTAGCATTTTTTTCCCTTTGCCTTTTCTCCTCCTAATTACCATAGTTTATAAAAGCAGAGGTGGTCCATTATTCGGAAGCGGCAGAGGAACTCGAATTCAGGAAATGTTACCAGTGGCCCACAACTTTCTGAGGTACAGCGTGCAGCATGCCATGCAGTGAAAATGGCCCTTGATTCTCATCCAGCAGCCAAGAGTTCAATTGCAAGTTGCTCTGGTAAATTCTCTTTTCCATCTCCTACTGTTTAATGTATTGAAGTGTTCTAGTATGACAATCTTTAAAAAAGCAATCTAAACTATGAATTTTATCTAAATCAATGAACAACTCAGATGTCTTTAATGCACAATGGTAGTTAGCTTGCTCTTAGATGCATGTAGTTCACATAGTTTTTGGCACTTGCTTGTGTGAGCTTTGTTCAATTATTCTTTGAACTTGGAGCAGGTGGGACAACTTCAAACAAAACCTCCACTAATTGCATGCCTCCTGCAATTATTACGGAAACTCCTCCTGTCCAACATCTATCTCAACAACGTCCTACGGTGACAAAATCATCTACAATATGGCCATTAGGATCTGCAGCAAAATCTCAAGCAATGTTGACAAAAACATCAACAAAATCTATTTTGAGTTCTGATCCTGTGAGAGCTGCTGCAGTTGCTGCTGGGGCTCGCATTGCAACCCAATCAGATGCTGCCTCACTGCTAAAGGCTGCTCAGGCAAAGAATGCTGTCCATATCATGCCCACAGGCAATTCTTCAATCAAATCATCCATGGCTGGTGGTGTATCTATCCACTCAGAGACTAATCCCAATACTCAATTTATCTCCAGTGGTATGGCAACCACACCAACTACCACCCGTTCAGCTGTAAGTAGCCCATGCCCTGGTTTGGCCAAAGCTACTTCACTGCCACCTCAGGTGAAAGCTTCTTCATTGACAACTCAGCATACAAAATCCACCTCTATCACATCATTGAGCACGATATCTGAACAGACTAATCCTGGTTTGGCCAAAGCTACTTCACTGCCATCTCAGGTGAAAGCTTCTTCACCGACAACTCAGCATGCACAACCCACCCCTGTCACATCGGATATGCTATCTGAACGGACTGATACTGAAATTCTACCAAAGCAAGGCATTCTAACCGTCGAGGATATAGTTGGGTCACAAGATGTGGCAAACGATCAAGTTCAAAAGGATGGAGCTCATGTCTCTGTAAAGGAACCAAGCGAGCAAGTTCAAGAAGTTAAAGCAGCTTTGACAAACCAAGAAGCCGAGTTGAAAGGTCAAGTAGCTGTTGTGGAGAGTTCTAATGCTTCACCAAAATTGGCAATGAACGAAAGTGACCTGAGAAATGTCACTGGCAACCACGTTGAAGGAAGTCAAAGTACAGATGATAATAAGATGACTTGTACACCTATTAAGGAAGCTGAAAATCAATCAGCAGTTCAGGAGAACGGTAAGAGTACAAGTGCAGGTGAGAAGCAAGCAGATTTGCCAAGCACAGTAACCTACAATTCCTGCAAAAATGTGGAGGTATAAGCAAAACAGAAGCCAGCAATGGGATGTTGGATGGATAGGGTTAGAGTATTGAATACGAAGTACCAGGAGACACTTTTGGTCTCTCTATTTGTATTTTAGTTGAGTTAGAAATTTTGTGTAAATTAGTTGCAGAATCTTGTGGAAAGTAATGACCTAGTCCGTCTTTGCAATGCTGTAAATTCTTCATGTTCGCTTGGTTTGATTGATCCTGTTGCCATGGATGCATTTGAACGCCCTTGCCCTTGTCTGAAAAAGTCAGATCGTCATGGATGACATGGTGCTGAAGTAAAATGTGGACTTCTTCTTGGGATTTCTTTATGTTTTCCTTTCCTTTTCTTTGGCCCTTAAAGCCATCGACTCTTGATTTTTTCTTCTTTTCTCTTCTTTTCTTTCGGGGTAAATCATCGGCTCTATGAAATCCTAAAGTTTTCCACATAAATTGTTAATAATAAGGACAAATCAGCCTATAAGCAGTGGAAGTACCGTTCGATTCATGTCCCTGATAAATCTTCCATTTTTCCCATCGATGTTAGTTGGATAATTGCAGCCCGAAATGCAGCTGGATCTGAATTTTCTGCAAACGCGATGTCAAGGCGAATGTAGTTGGAAGCCATGACAATTTGATAAATTCAAAATTTAATTGATAAATTGGGATGGACTTAGCTTCTGCCAATCCTTTTTAAACCGTCTTGATATTAGGAAATTCAAATTCAAATAATGGGCAACAATATAGATCCTTTTTAAACTGTCCTGATATGGAGAAATTCAAATTCAAATAATGGGCAACGATATAGAGCTTAAGTAAAGAGAGGATCCATCACTTCTATGTAAGAATGTTTTGATTAGTTACATCAATATTACTCCGTGGGTCAGAACAATCAATAAGGAGCTCGTAGTGTTGTTGCTTCAAGTTCTATTTGAAATATCTAATACTACGGTACGGTAAGCAAGCCCAAAGAAAAAACAATAAACCAAAGAAAAACGGAGGAGGAACAGTCCCTCCTTCAGTGGTGCTGTGGGGGTTTTCCTGCCTCTACCATACTGTATTGTTTCTGCAGTGCAGGGCTTGCGCATGAGAAGATAGATTGCTTTTGTCCCTTATATTTCTTTAACTTGACACCAAACAGGAAAGAGCGCAAAGGAATTCTAGCTTTGTGTGACGAACTTCTATGCTTAGATGCTGAAATCCCGAGCTCCTCATCCAGTTTTGTGAGTATCCTTTCAACTTCAACCTTGAGTCCTCTCACACGATCCAGACCGGCTTGCAGCTCATCTGCAACCTTGTTGCTTTCCTGTTTCATGTTGAGAATCTCACCTTGAAACTTAGCTGCTTGATATTCACTTAGCTCAGCCTCTTCTGCTTTGGAAGTTGGATTGGAAACTCTCGATAACTCATCTTGAATATTGCATAAAGATGCATACCTAGCATGCATTTCGTCTTTCATTACTGAATTGTTCTCCAACCATAATGTTAATTCAGTTTGTATTTCTCTCATATGTGCAAATATTGGCCGAGTCTCTGAGATAATAAATTGACTCTTATCATTTCCATCTCGCCTTCTTCTCTCTCTGATTCTCGATAGCTCCACCTTTAAGTCTTGGACTGATGTTTGGAACTTTCGTATCTGATGCAACGTGGTGCTAAACCTCAACCAGAACTCCAGATTTTCCTCCAGCAGTCCATCAATATCTGAGCGTATCTTTTCTTCAATAGCTGAAGGAACATGGGGTGAGTCCCCACGTTTCATCTTGGTCACATTGCGAATCTCTTTCGCGGAGTACCTTTTATTGGCTCCAGATACAGCTAATTCACCAATTCTTCCTCTGGGTTCTACATGATGATCGTGCTCTGAGTCAAAAACCGGCTGCTGAGGTGAACTTAGGGATGAAAGGTTAGAATCCAAGAAGCTAGCCGCTTGTGTCATGAGGTCGGGAGAACCTTCTGGATGCGAGTACTTATATTTTGCCGAATTAATATCATTATTTGCATCGTGGTTTTGTTGGTGAGAGCTTATTTCACGCAAAGATTCAATCTCTTCGTCCCTCAGGGCAAGAGCATTCTTTAGTTCCCTGATCTGCAATGCCAATTCAAAGAACCCATCCCGGTTTTTCTTCTCAACATCACCGAGCTTCTTTCGTACTTCAGTATAATTCCGAAGGACCAAAGTATACTCTTCCAGCAGGAGCTTTTCTCTGTCATCTAACCCACTCACCAACGGCTGCCTCCAGTTGAGTTGATCCTCTTCATCTATTCCCAGTTCTTCTAGCCGAGCAGCAAGATTATTCTCTGCCTCGCGCAAATCTTTCTGATCGTGATCGTCGGGTAGGGCAGCGAGTTTTTGGCTTGGTCCAGATTCCTCTACTTTGATAGAACTATTGAGAGCTTGAACATCATCTTTCTTCTCTTTCTTTTCCATTTCCGTAGCCTTTGATATGAATGCATTATTTCCAGAAGCCAGGTGTTCCTCTTGTTCTTCAATCCTGCCGTCTGCTTCGGCGTCGATAGCACCTCCTGATTCTTGGATCGATTCTTCGTTCTCAACTTCCTCCTCTGGTTTCACTGTTTGTAACTTCACTGACAAATGATCCATCGTACAACTTGCTTCAGTTAAACGTGTTCGAAGGTTTTTGTCTTGGTCTTTGATTTTTTCGTTGAGGCATTTCACCCTACGTAACTCCTCCTCCAACTCTTTAAGCTTGTTGCTCATTTTCTCTGAACTTTCCATCAGAGTCTCCTTGTCCTCTTCTAGAGTCTTGATGTGTGTGTGAAGTCCTTCTGTATCCGATTTTAGTCTGTTTACCAGGGCAACTTGAGAAGAGACTGCGGTTTCCAAACTCACAACCTTCTCGACAAGTTCATCAATTCTCCCAGCTAGTTGCATCACAGTGTGGGAGGACTTTGAATCTGCTTCGAGCTCATCCTCAATCTTCTCTCGCAACAAATTCATATCATTTGGATCTATATCTTCTGATTCAGCCTCTTGTTCATCAGCGGGATCCTGCAGTTCTGATTGGTCAGAAAGAAACTCACCTTTAAGGGATGTGTACTTCTGCTGGACTTCGTTAATCCTTCGGTTCTCTAGTTTAGCTTCTTCAGCTGATAGCTCCTGTTTCTCTTGCAACTTAACTAAGGTATCCTTGCATGATTTTAGAGCGGTGGATGCCATCAAAGTTCGGGCTTCATTATCATCAATAACATTGCTGATACCAAACTCATCTTGTAAGCCGCTGATTGTCACTTGCATTTCAGTTATCTGATTTTCAATTCCCCCGCACTTTGCAAGGCATCGTTCAGATACGCTTGTTACAAACTCCTTCTCCGTTTGTAGTGCCAAAATTTCTCTCTGAAGCTTATCAATTTTCGCTACAGCCTCTTCTCGGCTCAGGCCTGAACTTGAAGGCACATTGGCTTTAGCAGAACTAGCACTTCTATTTAGCTGCTGCCCCTTTCTGGACGACAACTTTGACTGGCTTCTGAAATTTTTCTCTGGCATGCTGGGTACTTTTGGAATGTTTGAATTGGAGGTCTTGTGCGCTTCGGTAAGATTATCAGAATCGAATGTTGTGGGGCCATTTTCGTCGAATTCATCATCATCATCATCCATGGAAAACTGAACTTGTTCTGGGAAGACAGTGGCAATGGTGCGATTGGCCCTTTGCAGCTCTTTTGACAGATGATCGAATCTCTCTGCCAATGCTCGATATGCCCGGTAAGAGTCTTCCACATGGTTTATAAGTTCTGGCCTCCTTCTGTAGTACATCTCAGCTCTTTGAGCGAAGGAGTCTCCAGAATTTTCAATGATTTTGAGCATGTTATTAACCTTTTCCTCCATATCTGTCATGTCAAAAGTGTATGTTAAATAAAAACAAAAACAAAAAAGGAAGAGCCATGTACGTCAATATGTATGAGAGACTTGAATACTCTTTTTCTTATGCAACCATAGACTAACCTAGACATTTGAAAATGTTCTCTCTCGTTTTTCCTGGTTTCTTGGTATTTTATTTTTCACTTCACATGATTTGTGAAAGAAATTGAGAAATAGCAAACCAATGCTGATTAATCTTAAACAACTTGGGATCATCAGAAGCAGAATTGATGATTACAATTTTTTTTCTTTTTTATATTAACGTGGAGTTAGTTACTTCCAATTGATCATTTAAAATAATCAAGAACAGAAAAATTTATTTTCAGACGGTAAGGAAGGTTTTCCCTTGCGTAACCAGCAATCTCTTTACAGAAAACTTAAAGAGACCTGGCACGTTGTTGCAGACAATTGACGAATAAGAAGGCAGAATTAGTTATTCAACAATCTAGATCACCGAAAGAGCTTAATTCCTTTCTAGAAACATATACAAATTAATAAACGAAGACAGAGTACCCGCCTTGGAGGTTTTCTTCCAGCCATTTTGAATGTTTTGTCCTGATGTGGCTCGCCCACCACCATGAATATGCATTGCTTGCTGCTCTCTGCAGCATTTTACCTGTCTTTTCTCTCGCTCAAAATGCAAAAGAGATTCAACCCATTAGGAACAAGATACCGACGATCATGATAGTCAATGAAGATGAGAAAGAAGATTTGCCGATAAACACAGCTTTTGCCTAAGGGGCCTCTAATGAGCAGTGGGGGAGAATATTTAGGGCCATATTTTGTGCCTTTGACAGCCTCAACGTAGGTAGGGACTCCTCAATGGATGTGTCCACGTTGAAGGATCCTTGGTTTGCCAGGTTGGTCCCCTAGAATGGAGGGGGTATGTTCCCTTTCTTTGATTACTATTCGTTTTTGGGTGGTTAATTAACAGATTTTTTGCTGCTACTTTTCATTGTTTTGTTACATAAACAACCATGGTATATTTGGCTTAAAAATGGTCTCTCGTATCTTTTACCTAGCTTTTACTCTTTATATGTACTGGCCTTTCAATCGGATTTGTTAAAATGAACGAACTTTCTTAGTGCCTATCTTCTTGTTTTTTGGTGGCAAAATGCCTATCTTCTTTCATGCGATCATAATTGACAGAGTGCAACTTGCATACCTCTGTTTTTTGGTTATTAAAATATTTCGGTGTTTCAGTACTCCCCCAAAAAAAAACTTATTTTCCGTACACGTATAAATCAATTTTGTTGGTAAAGTGTTTATTTGGTTTTTTTTTTTTATATTGGTACGCTTTTAAAACAAAATAAGTAATGTTTAGTTAAATCTGATTAGGTATGAAAGTAAAATACAAACCTTTTAAGAAGTAAAACATCAAATTCATTCTCTCTCAAGTAAAGATAC